ATCGGCTCCTCCTTTGTTTAGTGGCGTCTATGTGAGATTGGCCTCGAGGACTACTTTTTTGTTCTACTTAGCAGGTATGCATAAGATTGTGATCGTTTTTTAGAGCAAAATTTCCTTACAAAATTATTTATGTTTAGTTTTAGTTCTGTGCCTCATGTCTTGTCAATGATTTGAGTAGATTCCTCAATGCTCTTGAAACTATGGGAGGAGCTGTTCAACTGGCAAAAGATGTGGAATCAAGAAATGTTTCCTCGTGGAATGATCCTCTAGATGCTTTGATTTTGGGTGTTCACCAAGTAGGTCTATCTGGTTGGAAGCAAGAAGAATGCATAGCCATTGGAAATGAACTCCTTGCTTGGCGAGAGAGAGACCTACTTGAAAAAGAAGGTTATTTCCTTATCTCATGTCAACTCATTCTATGTAACTCCGACATGTGAGGATAGTTTGTATATGCAAGCTATAATTATAAACTAAAATGCTCCTTGTTTTCCACGAAGGAGGAGAAGATGGAAAAACCATTTGGGCCATGAGGCTGAAAGCAACTCTTGATCGAGCACGGAGATTAACAGCAGAATATTCTGATTTACTTCTTCAAATATTTCCTCCTAATGTGGAGGTAGACATTATCACGTCTTACATTCAGTAATTAGTGGTGCAACTTCTACTATAGGTCAAATTTAATTGGCTAGTAATCTTGAAATGAAACATGCTTATTATTTCAGATTTTAGGAAGAGCTCTAGGAATTCCAGAAAATAGTGTCAAGACTTATACAGAAGCAGAGATTCGTGCTGGGTAAGTCAGGCCTTTGCTTCCTAATACTTAGCTTAAGCCGTACAAGCAACCTCATGAAATCATTTGAGAATGCTTTTAGATTCTTGCCTTGCTTATTTTACTCAAATTTTGTTCCTTTTCTGTATTTTCCTCTTACCGTACCTGTGGTTCTGCCTTACAGCATAATTTTCCAGATCTCAAAGCTCTGCACTGTTCTTCTAAAAGCTGTAAGAAATTCACTTGGTTCTGAGGGCTGGGACGTCATTGTACCTGGATCGACTTCTGGGACATTAGTTCAGGTACGTGGGGAAGGCTAACAAATACAATAGTTCTGAGGGATGAGATTTTGAATATACTACTTTCTGATACATTCTGGCTTCTTAGAAGGAACTATCATTTCAAAGCCAAGTTGTTAACTCATAATGTTTGGTTTCAGTGCTATAGAAATTTCCAGTTGTATTAAGTGTGAACTCTTCATAAGTAGGACTTTTTCTGAAGAATTTAATAACAAATTACTCATAATACAAGCTAGAGATTGAATAATTACTATATGTGTGTTCGAGATTGGGTTAGGTGTTACTGCACCATGTTTGCTTGAAATTTTTTAATTTAGCTTTGCTTTTGGCTTTTGGCTTGTAACATTGATTCGCATTTGAAAATATTTCTCTTGCTCTTGTGACTGCAGGTTGAGAGCATTGTGCCGGGATCATTACCGTCAACTGCTGGTGGTCCTATTATTCTCTTGGTCAATAAAGCTGATGGCGATGAAGAGGTTTTTTACCTACATATAACCTCACTGTGATTCGTAACATCATATTAAAGATTACCTTGTAACATGGTTTGTCAGGTAAGTGCTGCTAATGGGAATATAGCCGGAGTCATGCTCCTCCAGGAATTGCCTCATTTGTCTCACCTTGGCGTTAGAGCGCGGCAGGCAATAACCTCTTCCGTTATTTCCACTCCCTAGAGTTTACTAAAGAAATGCATTGTTGAAACTCTTCATTTCGCATAATTTTCCACAGGAGAAAATTGTCTTTGTGACATGTGACGATGATGACAAGGTTGCTGATATACGGCGACTCGTGGGAAAATATGTGAGGTAAATTTCCGACGTCATCCTTTTGGTGAATCTTTTCAATCTCTCGTTAAACAAGAAAACTCATGTCTCTTCTATATTGCTCTTTCTGATATGAACCTTACAGGTTGGAAGCATCTCCAAGCCATGTGAATCTGATACTTACAACTGAAGATAGGAGTCGTACCTCCAAATCGAATGCGAATAAGAAAAAGGATAAGGCCAGTTTATCTACAGATGATGAAAAGTCAACGCCTGTTTCCTCGTCTGCTGATGGCCTCCTATACTCGGATAAGGTAAACTTTGATATCTCTGTGATTCCACCGTACACGTCACATTCAGATCACATACTGATATTAGACTTTCATCCATAGGAAACCCCTAGTGGAGGAATCATAGCACTTGCTGATGCAAATGTATCAACCTCTGGTTCAAAAGCTGCTGCATGTGGTCTTCTTACATCTTTAGCAGCAGCCTCTAGTAAAGGTAAACAATTTTCTCAATGTCTCATATTAAGAACAGTTATCTCTGTTCACAACACATCTAATTTCTTTCTAAATTGCTTTGCCTGGTTTCTGATGAATGTGCAGTGAACAGCGAGCACGGAGTTCCGGCATCATTTCAGGTTCCAACTGGAGTTGTCATACCTTTCGGGTCAATGGAGTTAGCTCTAAAGCAAAGTAATTCGGAAGAAAAGTTTGCGTCTTTGCTAGAAAAGTTAGAGATTGCCAGACCCGAAGGCGGTGAGCTTGACGACATATGTGATCAGATCCATCAAGTGATGAAAACATTGCAAGTGCCTAAAAAAACAATCAACAGCATAAGCAAAGCGTTTCCCAAAGATGCTCGTCTCATTGTCCGTTCAAGCGCTAACGTGGAGGACTTAGCTGGAATGTCAGCTGCTGGACTCTATGAATCAATCCCTAATGTGAGTCCCTCAGATCCTTTGGTGTTTTCGGAATCAATTTGCCAAGTTTGGGCTTCTCTCTACACAAGAAGAGCTGTTCTAAGCCGGAGAGCTGCTGGTGTCTCTCAAAGAGAAGCTTCAATGGCGGTTCTCGTCCAAGAAATGCTATCTCCGGACTTATCTTTTGTTCTTCACACAGTGAGTCCAGCAGATCCAGACAGTAACCTCGTTGAAGCCGAGATAGCTCCTGGTTTAGGTGAGACTTTAGCTTCCGGGACAAGAGGAACACCATGGAGACTCGCTTCGGGTAAGCTCGATGGGATTGTGCAAACCTTGGCTTTCGCAAACTTCAGTGAAGAGCTTCTTGTGTCAGGAACTGGTCCTGCTGATGGAAAATATGTTCGGTTGACCGTTGACTATAGCAAGAAACGGTTAACCGTTGACTCAGTGTTTAGACAGCAACTCGGTCAGAGACTCGGTACGGTTGGTTTCTTCTTGGAAAGGAACTTTGGGTGTGCGCAAGACGTGGAAGGTTGTTTGGTTGGTGAAGATGTTTACATTGTTCAGTCACGACCACAACCTCTGTAGAATCTTTTTTATTTACTATAAAACGAATAAAATAAAATGTCAAGAAATCTAATCTGCATTTGCGTCACTACCATATTTGAAGGTCCGTATGTCTAATAAATAATATATGTACTATCCTTTTTAGTGAATTTGTGGAATTGTTAGAGTACAATTTTACCAACTTACCAAACGCCAATAGCTTACTAGGTTACAAGGATTTCATTTGAGACTTGAGAGGTTGGGTTCTCGATTCCGAGTTCGAATGTCCGTTTAGGAGGGATAGTTTATGTCTTCACATATCAGAGCATCCACGATGGTGGAATATATTCCATGAATTTC